AATTTCTCCCTCAACTTTTATTTTGGCCAATTTTCCCCCTCAACTCTTATAACAAAGGTCGTACCCAGTGCACAAGGCTCCCGCTTTACACATGGTCTGGGAGAGGTGAATGTCGGCTAGCCTTACTCCCATTTATGGAGAGGCTGCTCCCAAGTCTCGAACCCGAGACCTACCGCTCATGGGCGAAGGCACTTGCCATCGCACCAACTTTAATTTGGTCAATTTCCCCCCTCAACTCTCATAATTTGTCAATTTGTATCTTATTGTTAATTTTTTAATTTGATCATAATTAAACAAGTGTGTGTAAGAAACTAAATAAGATGTATGTTAATCATTTTTCTATGTCTTTATCGTATTACAAATAGATTAAAATTTAGAATTTTACAATTTATCATAGATAGTATTATTAGTAATAATAAATCAGTATGGAGTAATTTTATTTGATTTTTTACTATACAAAATTGATAACGAAAATGATTGATGTGTACGTTTTTGTATGTGAATACAATTTTCTTTATAAAAGTGAAAGCTAAGTTCAAGTAAATTACGGAGAATCGAGCTTTAGTTCAAAAACGGTTAGTCAATTCATAATTATCGACTCCTTATTAAGAATAACCCATTTTATTGAAATAGGTCTGATCCATGAGTTTAGGATTATTATTTCTTCTTCTACATGCTTTAAACCCGATTCATAACTTTTTCTTATAATCAACCCATATCATATATTAATTGTATTATGTTTTTGTACATTTTACCCTATATTATGCAGGTGAGTTTATGTTAATTTTAGTACTTTGTTGGAAGTTATTAGAAAGATTGAAAGAAAAAAAAAAAGAATAGATGGAAAATTAAAAAAATTTAACAGAAGGGGGCAAATTGACTAATTATGAGAGTTGAGGGGGGAAATTGGCCAAATTAAAGTTGAGGGGGGAAATTGACCAAAATTAAAGTTGAGGGGGGAAATTGGCCAATGATCACAAGTTTAGGGGGGGAATTGATGAATACCTCTAGAAAGATTAGGGGAGGGATGGGTCGGGTTGGGAGGTGGTGGTAAAGGAAGGACGAGTGCAAGTGGGGAGAGGGACGGAGGATGGAGACCGAGTTGGCGAAGACAGAGGAGAAATAAGGGGTTTAAGCGATGGGGGATGGTTAAGATTTAGGTTTATGTTTAGTTTATTAAATTTTAAATTAATTTTCTAAATTTTAAATTTTTAGTTTTAATTTAATTTTTTAATTTCCACGTGGGCCTTTAATGACACATGGCTCCCAGTCATTGTCCACATGGCACCACTTCACTAGTTAGCGGCTTACTTAATAGTCAACTTAACAGATGTATGAGACTGTCCGAAAATTAAGACTTAATGTATGACTCTAGGATGAAAAAAACTTTATATACCAAATGTTAAAAACCACGAAACTTTAAGGTAATAAACTGAGACTAACCCATAAATATAAGCTCCAAATGAATTAATCAAATATAAAATAAAAAAAGTATTAAATATAAACAACTTATATTAAATTCAACATTCACCAAATTTATCCTTCAATATCATTCTATTTTGTGTGACCTTGTAGGTTCCAACTAAAGCTGGCAGTGTTAATTTGATTAATTAAAGATATTTATTTGTTTCTACATAGTTAGTAACCATTATAATTGAACCTTGTAGGAATATCCACAACTGAATAGTAACATTTAGCAATGGATTTCGGCTAACTAGATTAGTCAAAATATGTTTGAATTCATACAACACATATTTAAAGCCTTCATTACGATTACAATGCAATTAGGTTCCTTTGTCTACTATATTTTCATATATTTAGAGCATAGAACATTTGTCAAATTCTAAGCATGAATATGATCGCCTTGATGTATGTTGTTTTGAAAAAAAGACTTCTTGAGGTAGATCGTCAATTAGTTACTAGAATATCAACCTTCTTGATTACCTAGAATGTGACATAGTTTTGGTTGTGTATTCACATATCTCTATATTAATGCACATGATCGTGAACCTCTGTTATAGGGCTCTACTATTGTTTGAGAGCTTTGAGGCGAGACCAAAGCTCACATTCCTTAACACGAGATAACCAGTGAAGTCTCATGTTTAAGAACTAGTTGCATCCATAACTTAGAAGCATGATATGATTGACAAGTAGATAATTCTTTCATTCGTACACTTTTATGGTTGGTTAATGGTCAATGAACTTGATCTCATAGATGAGCACATTTATGTCTATTTCATGTCACCACATGCTTAGTTTGAGACTTACTACTGAAAACGACAAAAAAGGGCCGTTGCGTATATTTCATAGTCTTTTTCTCTAAAAAATAAAGAAATAAATATAGTCCTTTCACTCAGCCTATGTCTATGGACATATTTTAGGACTTATGATCTGTAGGATACATATCTCAAGACGAACCTTTGTGCAGTCCCGTTCCTACTACCTAAGTTATTCCTTAGACTCATCCTAATCAATAATAAACCTTCCTAATTCGCTGTTAAGTCATACACTCAATTGATGTATGTTCTCACTTGCCCTTGGTCGATGACTCGACATTCAGTTGCCTCAAATAACTAATTACATGTTGTCACGTCAATTGTTTTTCAGGCATACTCCAACATCTCCTTCTTGGTGGTCTTGGCAGATTTGTGATAGCGGCGCAACTGGTGTGGTGGAGGCAATAGTCCTCAAAATATAAAGTTTTGTCTTGTTATTATGGGGTTACTATTTTTGGACCTACATATCCTGTTTCCCTTGTTATATGAAATTTCTTTGTGTTTTAAGTTTTTGATCCGAAGAAAGTTGCGTTATTTTGTTAAGGCGTTGTTGTTCGGATTAGTGTATTTTGGTATTATAATAGCTCATGAAAAAGGAATCCTGTCTATGAATGCATCCTGATTTTCCTCATTCTTGTCAATTGTGTAGGAATGGTAGAGCTTAAATTGGAGATTTACTTCCTAATTTGGACTGAAAGCAAAGAAATCCTACTGCTATCAAATTGAATAACCTTGCTCTACTTTAGGTACTCAAGTTTGGTATTGTTGTTACTATAAATCTCCATACCGATTTCACTTCACACACTTCCATTGAGTTTTTTTATATTTTATTTTATTGATTATGTGCTTCTTGTTGTAGGCCTAATTAACCAAGCGATCTAAGGAATAGAGAGAGGGGGCAACGGCTACAAGAGAAAAAGAGAGAAATTTATTCTGAGGTGTGGGTTGTATCATCCCCTTATGCCTTTATTTATAGTAGTAGGAAGGGTATAATCCTTACTCCTATAGGATTACATCTCTTAATAGGTAACTACAAGATACTCCTAGATATACTAGGATTTACACAATCACATTTCTAATCCGATAGGATTGCAACACTTCTCTATTTATATTTTGTAAATTTCTAATAATGTTAGAGACTACATGCTGTGCCAGGTTCTCGCTCCCAATGAATGTTTTTTTTATAAATTCCTCCTTGAATCACATTTTTATGGATGAATCTAAAAATATATCTTGATAACTAAATAAAAAAACGATTAACACAAAACACTTAGGGGGGGTGTAGTCAAATGAGGATTTTAATGGATTTTAAAAGACTTTAGAATTATGGTGTAGTCAACTAGGATTTTAAAAGATTTTAAAAGAATCCATTCAAATACAAGGGTAGTCAATTAAAGGATTTTAAAAGACTTTAGAATCCTGATGTAGTCAACTGAGATTTTAAAGGATTTTTATAGAGTCCATGCAAATCTATAGGTATTAAAAAATTCATAGATTTTGAAGGATTTCTTTCAATAAGAGATTTTGTAGGATTTGAGAAGGGATTATAAGCATAACAAAATCCTACCTCCACCCCTAGAATTTTTTTTTCAAACCCCTCGCTCTTTCTCTCTCCCTCTTTCTCCATTCTGCAACTCGATCTTTCTTTCACACTCTCCATTTTCTTTTAGACATAGAACCTGCCAACCTGATTTCCTTTCACGTTCATATGTCACTGTCCCAGTTGCAAACTTGAATTTTTTGAATTGTTCAATATTTTTTGAAATTTTTATTTCCTTTATTTTGGACTGTGTAATAGTATTTCTTGTAATGCTTTGATGGAATTGTTAATAGCTGCTAGCAGTTCTTGTAATGATTATGTGTTCTATTTGAATGTGTTAACTTTTTACCATGTTAATTGAACTCTTGGAAATTACTACTAAGAATCTAATTGCCAATTCAAGCTTTCTGTTTTTTTTCGTGTAATCATGTTAGTGTAAGGGTGCAAGCATCTTCGAAAGCCTATTGATATTAGTAACTGTACTTAGACTGAATAACACATTATGAACTAATCAATTGTTGAGGAAAAATGGTTAATTTTGAGACATTTGATTTAAGAAGCACTGCTTGTTTTGATTAGTTAAAATTATTTTTCGTAAAGAAATCACAATTCAAATGAGAAAGGGAAAGAAAAGACAAATTTGATTGGTTTATATTTCCATATCAATATACATATGCTTATTTCTTTTTCAGATTGTGCATTGAGAAACAAATTTATGTTGTAGGAGTAAAAAAAGAAATCCTAAGAAATTCATGAAAAAAATCCATACAAATCCATAATAATCTGTCAAAATCCATATAAAATTGTAGAATTTATTAAAATCTTTTAAAATCTATCATTTAAAAAAGTCAATTAAAATCCTCTGAAATCTAAATTGACTACACCCACCTTAAAAACACGTAAAAATAAAAACATTGCTAGAGAGGCTGTGAAAATGACATATCTCAACCATCTATCACGCATAAAGAATCGGCGGTGCAGTAACACGCCAACTCATCGATCCATCCAAGTCCGCTATAATGGTCCCCACTCATGACAACCGTCGATCCCTAAACTTTTTGAAAACCAAATCGCACGGCCAGAGTCTCACACATCAGCGATCCGCGTGAAAACCCTACTAACCAATAACAACAGCCGACTCCTCTCTATATAAACAAATGCATTCCTCCGCTCCAACTCACACACAAAGTAATCTGCGTCTATACCTTCTCTCTTTTTAATCGAATCACATCCCTTCAATTTCGAAAAACCCCCAAATTCCCAAACCCTAATTTTCTCTCACCACTCCAATGGCGCCCAAAGCTGAGAAGAAGCCCGCCGAGAAGAAGCCAGCAGAGGAGAAGAAGTCCGCCGTGGCGGAGAAAGCCCCCGCCGAGAAGAAGCCCAAGGCCGGGAAGAAGCTCCCGAAGGAAGCCGGAGCCGCCGCCGGAGACAAGAAGAAGAAGAAATCGAAGAAGAGCGTGGAGACCTACAAGATCTACATCTTCAAGGTGCTGAAGCAGGTCCACCCTGACATCGGGATCTCCAGCAAGGCCATGGGAATCATGAACAGCTTCATCAACGACATCTTCGAGAAGCTCGCCCAGGAATCGTCGAGGCTTGCGAGGTACAACAAGAAGCCGACGATCACTTCCCGGGAGATTCAGACTGCTGTGAGATTGGTGCTTCCTGGTGAGCTCGCTAAGCATGCGGTGTCTGAGGGGACTAAGGCGGTGACCAAGTTTACCAGCTCTTGAAGTGTGGTGGGTTCTGTTCTGTTCGTCGTCTGCGTCTTTTAGGGCTTGGAAGAGTGGATCTTTATGTGTTAGTGTGTAGGGTTTCTGGTTAGTAGATATGTAATATCTTATCTATTGGATGAAATACAATGATCTGAAATTTGTGGTGGCATGGATTGATGAATTTGGATTCTGTAATCTCTTGAATTCGAAATGAACAGCCCACTTCCTTACTTTAATGTTTTAAATTGAAAATCAGGATTTGAGTAACATAAATTTGTTGAATATTTGCATTTGCTTGAGTTTTACATTGATGTGGTTAGACCCCTTTAGCCCGATTTGATTTTGTCCTTATGGCGTTTGAAAAATTTACCTGGTTTTCGGCAAAATCTTTTGTTGTCATGAATCCGATTTCAATATCATTAGCAGTCTATCGATTATTGTTTCTTGTGCTCAAGTTTTCATTGCCTAAATAAAGAAATGAGAATTATGCAGATGTGTAGAATATCAAAGGAAAATAGGGATTTTAGACGCTATTTCAATGGCGCCACCAATTAATTTGGGCGGCAACTCAGTGTTTAATTTTGTAATTTCACCTATTTAGATACGCTCGAATTCGAATGACCCCCTTTCATATTAGAATGTATATAATAACCCTATTCCGGTCTGGTTCGGTCGGTATGGAATGAACTTATAATCAAATCAGTTAGTTTTGGACGGGGAGTTAAAATTTCAGTCTACACATTGATTCGATCGGTTGGCTCAAACTCGGTTTCAGTTTCGCTGGTGCCCTAAATTTTGCAAGACGCGTACTCAGAGGCAATGATCTGAAATAAGACACTAGTAATCCTCATCCTTGCCACCAATATGTCATTGGCTTTGCAAGTTTTCTATAGATTTGGATCGTAAAACACGAACCAACCAAACTAGCAGATTGAAATTGATGTTCGTACCTGCCATTGCTGCTGCAGAGACAAAATCTGAAATAGCTGATTGCATTTTCAACCAAAACATGACTACTCCAAGTCCCGCACATAGTTGAATAAATGTAATCTGGGATACTTGTTATACAATGAACTTCCTGCATTGACAGTTGCATGGAAATTAATACGTACTACAAACACATTAGTTTCCAACATCTCTTTCTTTCTCTTGAGTAGAGTTCCCCAATATGTCATTGAACAAAACCGAATGATGCAATCCCTGAACGTTTTCTTTCTCCTTTTGTCCATGGGAGACGAAGTATGTTCTTGGCATCAACTCCTATCACGCCAAATGTCCAAAAATGATCGGAAAAACAAGGATCAGTTGTTTCTCGTTGGGTACTGCACATATTATTTTCTTCCTCGTGCACAATTAGCTGAATGCCCCTCCTTTACCCGGAACCAGGATCTCAGAAATCGGGAACTTTCACTTCGTTGCCATCTCTCAATTGATTCCCCAAACTCCAGTGGCTGAAGCATACCATGCTTCTCCCCTATCTGGAAAGCAGAGGCATGATGGTTCATAGATCCACTTCAGATTTGTTCACTTATTAACAACGCCAGCCATTATTGGATTCAATGGGCTGCAAACCCCAACATCTTTACTATCGTTGTTAGTAGTACATTCGTAATGAGCAATGTTTGTATATACAGAGAGAGTACGTTCAAGCCTCCAATCCGGAGACCTGAAGTGATGGCACAGTACAAGATATGAAGGGCCTTTACTTTTATGGCTGAACTGACAAGGCAGCACGTTCCCAGGAAGAAATGTAAGTGTGTGAGAGAGAGAGAGAGACCTGGACGGGATGCTTGTCGATCTTATTGGCCTAGCAAAATCTTTCGGAAAAGCATCATCCGAAAGACCCAAATATTTTCTGGATTTCTCCTCATGAATGATTCGACCATCCCAGCGGTGTTCATGAGTATTTGAGATATTGGAATTTCAGCAAAATTAAGCCCTATTAGAGATTCCATCTTCCCCAACTCTGCTGGAATCTCATTCAGATTTGAGCAACCATATACACTCACTCAGTACAGTACAGAAAGCATCTTTTAAGGTTAAATATTCTTTGGAAGCTTCCTAAAAGCAATTGTAAAGGGCCTCCTTGGCCATAGGCAATTCAATCTCTTAGTGAATAGTAACAACTTTAATGAACAATAATTATTTATTGCATCTCCACCACAATACTGAATAGCTTAAACAATTTGTATTAAAATATTAGTATTTTTTATTTTATAAAATAATAAAAAATAATTTTATTTTTAATTTCTGATAGGAGTTTTAACCGATCTCGTTAAGCTACGTGTTATTATCCGAAAGTACATTTTTTATAGATAGATTTCGATAAGATTTTTAATCAATTCCGTTTTGCGATGTGTCCTTACTTGTCTAGAATCGTTGAAATATTGAAATATGGTGTAAAGTGGGAGAAAATGGCAAGGTATTTATAAAAAAAAAATTATAAATTATAAAAATTATTGATATTTTTTCAGATTTTTAATTATTTTTCAAATTTTTATTAACTTAATTAATCTAGACCGTTGGATTACCAAAAAATTGAAATCTAATAGTCCAGATTGTGACACGTGGCCCACCGTTACATTTCTAATTTTTTAAGCCAAAAAACGTGGACAATTTAGAAATCAAATGGTCCAGATTCAATGGTAATTGAGTGGGGTTGACATGTGGGGCCCTCCGTTTGAAAATATGTCGGAGATGCGCCCACTTGCGTGTGTTGCCCACACGCTTGACGCAAATTTTTTTAGAACATGTCTGACGTCACATCTATCCAGGCCCTTGGGCCTTGGATTTTTGCCTGACCTCTTGGTTGGCTCCTCTTTGCTTAGTTGCCGAAGGTGGGCTAAAGGAGTTTTGGGGGGGGGGGAGAGGGGGTGGATTGCGATGGATTTGGAGCCTATCCATAGGGCAATTAAGCACGGTGGAAGTGCTTTAATCTTAATACAATCTTTCAGAATCGAGAAATGTTAAGAATATTCTTTTAAAGTGGGCATTTTCATGGAATCTCTGTCATCTCATACTATAAAATCAATTTTCGTATCGCCAATATTATAAAATATTGTACAAAAAACATGAAGGGCATAATTCATAAAAAAGTTCAACTTTAAGAAAATTTTGTACGCATTTCTCTTCTACAATGGTTTTAAGGTTTCCAATCTACTTGGGGATATAAACCATGTTCACAATTGGTAAGAATCAATTCTTTTATTATCTTTTGTTGTAAAATATTGTATCAAGTTCACCCAAGTTTTACTATCTGATATTTCTAATTTGCATATCCTTCGTAAAAAGAACTACACCCAGATGATGTCATCGATCAGTCCCTCATCTCAACCGTCCGTTCTCAGTTTCATACAAAAACTATCCACCGTCCAATTCCACTTAAACTAACCGATCAGGGCACCAATCCGCTTGAACCAGCTTAACACATCGCAACCGTCAATGTTTGAACTTTCCCAAACCCAATCCACGGCCAAAACCACATCCCAGACAGCGATCCTCGTCAAACCAATTTAGCCAATGGAATCCAACCGCTCCCCATTATATAAAAACACATTCTCCTCATCTTTAAGTCCATCACGAAACATCCTACTCTCCGAGTCTTTCAATCCAAATCGAAAAATCCCCAAATCCCCCAACTTTTCTCTCACCCAACTCTAACAATGGCGCCCAAAGCCGAGAAGGCCCGCCGAGAAGAAGCCAGCAGAGGAGAAGAAGTCCGCCGTGGCGGAGAAAGCCCCCGCCGAGAAAAAGCCCAAGGCCGGAAAGAAGCTCCCGAAGGAGGCCGGAGCGGCCGCCGGAGACAAGAAGAAGAAGAGATCGAAGAAGAGCGTGGAGACCTACAAGATCTACATCTTCAAGGTGCTGAAGCAGGTCCACCCTGACATCGGGATCTCCAGCAAGGCCATGGGAATCATGAACAGCTTCATCAACGACATCTTCGAGAAGCTCGCCCAGGAGTCGTCCAGGCTCGCGAGGTACAACAAGAAACCGACGATCACTTCCCGGGAAATCCAGACCGCCGTGAGGCTCGTGCTCCCTGGTGAGCTCGCCAAGCACGCTGTTTCGGAAGGGACCAAGGCCGTGACTAAGTTCACCAGCTCTTGAAGGGTTAGGGTTTGTGGGTTTCAATGTCTGGTACTTGAAATCAAGTCGTATGGGTCTAGGGTTAGGGTTTTAATTAGTAAATGTGTATTTTACTTTCAATTTTTTTTTTCGAATTTACGTTGATTTGGAACTCGATCTTTATCTTGGTAGGAAATGAAATACGATTGTGGTTCATATAATTCTTGGTGCTTATACATATCTTGTGGGGTTTTCAATTGCGAAGCTTGTTTGATGAAATGCCCAATCATATAATCCTTGGGGTTACTTCTCTTTCAGAGATTCAGAGCTCGTTCTTTCGAAGAAGAAATCAACCTTCGAATAGAGGGTTTTTAGTCATCGAATACTATCAAACTCTAGGTGTATGATTCTCCAATTGTGTTCGTGTTTTGTCAAAACTGCATTGCGATGATCACGAACGCCATTCCATCTCTGTTTTGCTCTTCACTTGCTATGAATATTGAACTTCGTTTGAACTGTTCTTAGTGTATCTTGGGAGGGATTATGCTGCATGCAGTTTTTGTTCATTTATTTGTACAGAATCCACAGATTGAGGGTACAAAAAACCCCTTTGATTTCCCCTTCATTGGAATTAAAGATTTAACGATTAGAGCACCTCGAGTATCCTAGAATTTTGGTTCAATTTGTTTTGGGTGCTTGTTCAAAATGCAGTTTCAACATGGCGATTGAAGCGTTGGTTCGCACGAAAATGTCCGCTGTTTCTGTTGCATTGCAAAGTTTGGATGGCAGCTTAAAAGATGTATCAATCTATTTTGCCTGAATGGATACGGTTTAGGTTAATGTTTAATGATTACCTTGGGATCAATCTATTTTACCAGTAAACAATGGAAGATTTAGTTTGGAAGCCAAGTCGATGTGTGTTGCTTACGCGTTACGGGGTGGGTACGATGCGGTTCGACTCAGTTCACCCAAAAGTCGCATACCGAGTCGGAGTCCCTCATGGGTTTGGTTCGATTCTGATTCTCAGCAGAAACGGTTAGAGAAACCTAACAAATTCACTTCCAATATAGTCCGGTTCCGTTGGGCCAGAGTCGCAAACCGAGTCGGAGTCCCTCATGGGTTTGGTTCGATTCTCAGCAGAAATGGTTAGAGAAACCAAACAAATTCACTTCCAATATAGTCCGGTTCCGTTGGGCCAGGGTATTTTATTTGGGCTTTGCTAGTTAATGTTTTTGGGCTTTAAACGCCAGTGCAAAACTGCGGAATTAATAAGCCTATAGAGTTTTCAGAAATAAAAATATGTTGTAGCCTATTTTATTTGACTAAGGAAAGAGGGACGACATCAAGGAGAGATTGTAGAGAGAGATGTATTTGTAGAATCGTGGGGATTATGTCTTATTCCCTCATATGTAGTGACTTTATTTATTTATAGTAATAAGAGGGAGAGGAAATCCTTCTTTCCCAATACAAGTCCATATAGGAAAGAATAATTAGAATTTACACATCTACTTATCAGTAAGAACACGTGAATTATCTGAAAGTGTTTCTAAAATGACTGAAAATGATTTTGATGAAAGTTTTTTTTCAAACCAATCCTTAGTGAAAATGCAAGTAAATCTTGAAAAAATACTTAAAATGTTTCCTCCAAGAAGCATTCAATATTCAAGTTGCAGTTTAAAATTTGGAAAATATTACGCGTAATTCAATTCTAAATTTTTTTTTCTTTCAATCAATTCTAAAACTTCTAAACTGAACTGGAAAGGTTAAAACTATTAATTTTTCGTAAGGTGATTTGATTAAGAAAGCATTCATCACGGCCACATACCATTCTTTGCGAGTTAAGATAACAGGGTGTTGAGTGTTTTAACATATTCTAGCAAATATTTGGGCGGCCAGAAGAGAATCAATGGCTACGTTCCAAAATATTGTTGAAAGACTTTATCTAATTATATATAACATGCATTGAAATACTTGAACGTTTCTGGTCCCTTGCATGCATGCATGCGTGTTTCGCACTGCTTGCTAGTTGAGTATGGTCCCTATTAGATTAACAATAAAGAAGGAAAAAAAAATCTCATATCTAATAATAGGTAATGTTAGAGAGATTAAATTTTTAGATTACATTTGCAAACTAAATGATGTGTTACCAATAAGATTGAGCACATTAATCAACGCCTAAGTAATAAACCAATCATCAATTTCCATGTCCTTTAGTTTCTAAAATTTAATCTAGAAATTCAGTCACCCTATCATTACTCTATCTTGAGTTGCTGCTTCGTTTCTTCCTGGGAAATCTCAGGGAGGGAGTTTTGTGAGGTTCTTTCTCGGTCCCATAAACGTGCGTTCCTCTATCAAAGATATCCAACTCAAGGTTAAAGAGGAATACAACGCTTACAGAGATGAACTGCGCTGCTATTCCTTCTTTTCCCAGCAACACTACGTATACTAAGATCTTCGATTTGGGATGGATGTTTGCCAACGTTTCCACTTCAGGCTTACAATGTTATTCCTCTACACTGGTTTGGCACTGCGAGAATACATACTGAGAATAAGTGGAAGTGATATTCGTCCATGCATGGTGGATATACCATCACTGTTGTGCTATGTTTATGGCCCTTGTTAGTCTCACATGTGAGATTGAAAAACAACCAAATTGTCCCCAAACGCAGAGAGGCGTGCAACTTTTTCTACAATGGGATATGATGCAGATGCAAGGATTTGCCATGCTTTTACAAAATAGGCATCAATGCCAGAGACTCTATACTTGAATTGCATTGGGTAAGGCCAAAAAAATGGATGTCGTCTGGGTAGAAACAGCAGGCGTAGATGGTCAATTGTAGATTCTATGTCCTTATATTACAGGGTTTTTACTTTTTAGGTATATGTCGGAATACAATTGCTTACGACTGCTTGTATTGGCGTTGTTTCGGCATGGCAGGTGAGCTTTTTGCGGCATACCGTTAGTTTTAAAGAAAAACTAACAAACAGTCCAAATTTTTTTTAGTTTTAATGAAAAATGACAAATAAATGTGTAGTAAATAGTATCAGGAAAAGGTAAAAATGTGGTTTTTCGTTAAAAGTGAATAGTATCGGAAGTGTTTCGTTAAAACTTCCTAGTTTTAATGCTGTTCAGGACTTTGTAAATACGGTACAGACGCTTATGGTGAAGTCAAGGTTTTAGGCAAAAATGAAAAGAAGCAAGCAGGATTTGTAGTAGGGAAGGGCCGACCCCAATCGGTAGGATTAATCTCCCTGGAGCTTCATAGGAGTTCATTTTTGTAATTTTATTTTTTTCTTGTGTTCACTCATAAAAAGACTAGATGCCCTTAGATTGGATAATCAATCCACAACCAAAGTCTTCCCTGTTCTAGCAAACTGAACCCTTTTCTCCATTGGAGGCAGATTCTCTGTTCTCTCATTTTTCGTGCCATCCTGTTTGTGTGATCACGGTTAAGCCATGTCAACTTTTTATATTACTATTTCTTTTTGTCATATTATCTCTATAAAAAAATAATATAAAATATTGATGTTGTTGGATTTATCCAATATAAATCGACCTTTAAGTGGTCTACTACATGTAATAGGAATGTAATATTTGAGAATAATGTTGATTGTGATTTGATCTCTTAAAGATATTAATCCTATATAAGGTGTCTTATATTGGAAATAGGATTGATAGAATCCTTAATTGAATATGATTATGATACTTGACTTGGAGGCTAAGAAGTAAAGTTTAGGTTTCCTTTATGGATGGAAACCCTAGCTTTTAGCCTATATAAAACACCGGTCCCCATAAGCCCTAGAACACAACATAATGCTTCTCATAGAGTAGTTGTATTCGGCTAGAAGTTTATAGAAGATCTTGGTGTTGCCGTGCTCTGTTTGCTTTCGTGTTTGATATCCATGACCACCGTTAGAATCAGGTCAATCACTCTTTCATATTGTGTTTTAATTGTATAACCTTATAAGACTAACAGTTGGTATCAGAGCCACTGATTATATAATTAAAACCTATTAGGTTTAATGTTGGATTATATAATATTCTCTTGAACTGCGTGTTTAATCCAAATTCTCATTGCATATACTCGGCAACATCACCATGCGATTTGAATAAGTTCAATTGTTAATTATGATCAGGTTACATAATTATTCAGTTTTAATCAAGAATATTTTTCACTAATATTATGGTTGCAGTCAAGGGAAATTTATTAAGAACTATGCTAATTGATACCTTGATTATTATCAGCAAGACAAGTTGCCTGATTATAGCACGAACCCATAATATTGTATGCGGTGTATTATATATAACCACATAGTTTTGCTTGCCAATTGGAAATTGAACTACGCTTAGAGGTGCTTTTGATCAAGCATGAATTAAATTATGGAATTGAAGCATAGAATTTATATAATATTCTTATAGTATTGAAGCATGAAATTTAAAAACCATATAGGAATTGGAATCCTATAATCAAATAGGAACGTAAAGAAGCATATATGTAAGGCGTGGTATTATATTATGTATTTTACAGTGGAAACCATGGCACTAAGAAGAATAACAGTTTTGTTCTTTTTCAATCTTCATGCTAGTGTTTTGGTTGAATTGATTTACCATGTGCCACTGATGATCTCAATTTTTGTAAGCATGCTATATTTGTTCTGACCTTACTGAAGAGGTCCCTCCGATTAGCAAGCAGAGCAAAGTCTTCTACCAAAGCAAAATGGTTTGTTTCATTGACTTTGATTTCCATAATGGTTTATGGTATTTTGGTTGATATATATTTGGGTTGATCCCTCAAAGCTTAAATTGGTAATAAGATAAAGATATAATTGCATGAGTGATGTGCTAATTATTGTAGAGTATGTACATACATTGATTACCATGTATCGGTTAAGTATGTCATGAATATGGATCCAATTATTATATATTTTGGCAATACGTATCTAAATGGGCATAAGCTTATTGAATAAGAACTAATATTATTTTCCATGAATTGTATTCTATATGAATTGCTACGAGTGATACGTTAATGTGACAAGAAACAATTGCATAAATGCCAGCAATTGTTGGATCAAGCAAGTATATATAATTTTCTAAAGCCAATTATGTATCTACAGTTCGCATAGCATGTATATGTATTTACATTTGTTCTAACCTTGCATTGGAGAATTTCTTAAGATTCCTCAGTGGAACAAGCCCAATGAAGAGGTTCGTATTACATCGGTATATGAAATTCTGGTATGATCTTTCCTTTTGGTC